GAAATTCAATGGAAAAGTCAGCTAAACTCATATCATTGTGGGAAAATTCTACTACCAGTCCTTCTTCACCGTACACGAAATAGGGTGAATACATCTCATTACACTAAGATGTAATTACCCTATTTCGTTTGAGGTGATGACATATATATATATATATGCGTGTGTGTGTGTGTGTGTGTATAAGTGGTTTTCTTCCTTTTATGCGAATCTGAGTACTCATACTTGGAGGTGACATAAAGGGAAAGTAATTAAATCATTCTATGTCTCTCTATAAAAGTGTCTAAAGTTGAATTATTTTCGAGTGGGCTGCTCGATTCTGTTTTGGGGTTGGAGTTTTCATTGGTACGAGAGCCTTCCCAGACGACGCCTGCCGACTGGCGCGACAGACGAAAGCTGCGACCGTTTCAACTGGCACGAAACTGGTGGCCGCCTTGTGGGTCAGCATGCCCGTGGCGGAAAACAGAACTCTCTTGCTCACCCACTTTGGCCCGAGCTGGAATGGAGGCGAACAACGCTAAATGAAGAACGGCCTCGAGAATCAGCCTCGCGTCCGTGTCCCTTGAGGCCCGGTCGCTGAGAGGCGCCCGAGGGCGACTTACCGAAGCCGTTGGTGAACTCGCTCAGCGTCAGCCTTCCGTCGGCGTTGTTGTCGAGTCTGTCGAAGACGTCGTCCAACTGGTCTGCCGTCAGAGGCAGGTAAGGCTGCAGCCGGCGCAGGTCAGCCCGCTCCAGGAAGCCCCGCCCCTCGACGTCGCAGAGAGTGTACAACTCCAGCGCCCTCTCGTACAACGACATGACCGGTTAGCTCCTGCCGCTGTTGTAGCTGATGCTGTCTTTATCCCACCCACCAAAGCATCATGCCCTCGGCCAGGGAGCTGCCTCTCGTCTCGTCTCGTCTCGTCTCGTCACGTCTCGGTGTGGCCCGGAGGAAAGGGCTGCCGGAGGACCGGTCTTGTCTGGACTGTTGAGCGGAGATCCGCGCGAAAACAGGCTTCACTCGGAGGTGCTGTGCACGTAGGCACGGCGAGCAGAAGTGGAGCGGCACGGGTCGACGCTCCCGAAGAGGGCCGCCTCCGGCCTCCTGTCCAATGGCGAGACGCGACCGCACCCGACCCTCTGCGTCCGCCCGGCTGCCCGCCGAGCGGACCGGTCGGTCTGAGCAGCCGTTGAGCGGTCGGGCCGTCGGGCCCACCAGTCGGACTGCGTCGGCTTGCACCCGACCGCCTCGTGATTGGTCGACTGTCGGCCAAGTGCTGCCTGCGCACGACAGTCACTTGCCCTCAAGGTCACATGTCGCCGAGAGGGGCAGCAGGGCGCGCGCACCCTGCGGCGACCAATCGTGACCTCCGTGAGGGAGCATTGATCCTGCTCAACAGCCGCTCGACCAATCAGCCCTCGCCCTTTGCTGGCTTGAGCAACAGCAACGATTGGTCGGCTGGCTGGCTCGAACTCCGAGCCGTCGTAGGTCAGCCGTCCCACCCGGCATCACGTGAGTGCCGCTGCCTTACGAAGGCGCAGAAAAAGACACAAAATGAGATCATCCAAAGCACAAAGTATTCTACCCAGCACTGCCGGCTGCATCATCCTACACCCGACAAACATCGAAGAAACCAGCGGCCAAGTAAAAATCTAATTCATTACACAAGTCAACAGACTAATTGGCCCTCTCTTCATGTGGCGCAAGACAGGAAAACAGAGAAAAAATATCAACCCAACAATTATCGCTACTTTTGAAAGTAACTCTCGGGCTAACTCCACTTACTAGAATAATGAGCAATACAATTTAGTTGAAGATATGAAGACCAAGATGTTGTGGCCTCTGGTATAGTCGCAGTCTCCTTTCGATTTATTGTAGTGGGTTGGCCTCGTTGTCGCAACTCGGTTTTGTTGTCATGGCGACTTAATAGAACGCACCTTGTCCGAAGTCGTCTGCTATAGTAGTTGTCATGATTCCCAGCATCAGACAGTGGACTTGGTACATTCTCAGACGTTTCGTCGGCAGCATCAGTGAGTGCTGCCATTCTCCACACCAAGCTACGAACTCGTCAAAGAGACAAGTGAAGTCAATCCCTCGACAACTGTTCTGCTGAAAAAGGGTTACACTATCACTCCTCTTTTTGTCCTGGCCTATCTATCTACTCTTTACTCTCTTATCCCACTGCTGCTCTATCACATCTTCTCACTTGTTTACATTCCAATCGTCAAAATGTGGGCCCTTTTGTGGCAAATCTAGTGTGGCCCCATCACACTTGCTATTTATTTTGACCTCATCTCTTTCGATCGGCACACATTTTGATGAGTGCAATGTGAACAAGTGAGAATTTA